TTTTTTAACTGTCAACTTCAAGCAAGTATCCACTGACCCCTCCCACAATACAAAAGAAGAGAAAATGAGGACTCCCGCCCTCTCTCTCTCTCCCCCTCCCCATCCCAGTCTAGGGTAGCCAGATTTAGCAATTCAAAATACAGGACACCTACTTAAATGTGACTTTCAGATAAACAACAAATAAAATTCTTAGTGCAAGTATGTTCCATGCAATATTTAGGACACGCTCGTGCTAAGCAAATTCATTGTGTATCTGGAGGTCAAATTTAACTGGGCATCCTGGTTTTTATCCCTTAAGCCTCCTGCAGCCCCCACCCAGCAGCAGCCGAGGCCTCCTCTGCCGCCTGCCCAGCCCGCTGCCCCTCACAGTCAGAAAAGTCTCCAGAAGCATCACCCCTACCCGCACGGCACACCTGCCACTCAGAGATGGCCCCACCAGCTTCCCTGGTATTGGAGTTCCCATCCCCTCAGAGCCAGCTGGGGCCAGCCTCCTGCTCATCTCCCCTGGCCCACCGTGCAGGTGGGTAAGCACTATCTCTCGACCCAGCTGCCCCGGGGGGTGGGGGGCGTGTGTGTGATGTGACCCTCAGGTGGCAGCCCCTCGGGGACTGCTGTTGCCACAGAGCCACCTGCCTAAGAGCGAGGCCCTCGCCCTGTCCAGTGCCTGATGGCTGCTGAGGTCTAGAGGTCTGACCATTCCAAGCTTGGCTCCAGAGGCCCAGTCTAGCTCCAGAGCCAACCGTGGGCCTCTGAGGTTGCCTGCCAGGGCTACTTCGGAGCTCCACTTCTTCCTTCACCCTGTTCTGCCTGCTTCCCGCCCCGGCTGACCAGAGCCAAGACTCAGGGACCACCCCCCACCTGCACGCTAATCCCCCCTCCACCTTCTACCCCACCTGTCCCCAGTCCCTACCACCCCCCATCCCCTGCCCCAGTCTGCTGCCCCTGGCTGGAAACCAGCCACAAAGTGCCTACATCAGGTGGGTGTGGTGCTGGCTAATGGATTTTATTTGGCTTTCCAGTACTTTCCAAATTTTCCACAACAAGCACATCTTACTTTGGTAATAAGAAAAATAAAAGCTGGGGCGCCTGGGTGGCTCAGACGGTTAAGCGTCTGCCTTCGGCTCAGGTCATGATCTCGGGGTCCTGGGATCGAGCCCCACATTGGGCTCCCTGCTTGGCAGGGAGTCTGCTTCTCCCTCCTCTCTCTGTCAAAAATAAAATCTTTAAAAAAAAGAAAAAGCTTTTTTTTTTTTTCTTGAAACTTAATAAAAGTGTAAAACCAAGCATCCCTCCTCCACACTCACTCCTCCCCCATCCCTCCCACCTGTTCCCGTGGGAGGGAGGACTGCCCCCAAATCCGTGAACTCTCCCACCCCTCCACCCCCCCAACCCTGTCCCACCAGGCCCACAGGCCGTTTCACTTCTCCAGTGAAGGCTTTCTACCACCAGCCTACCCTTGCCGGGGGCTAGATGCAAATTGATGAGCGACTTCCTCAACTCCTATGGGGAGAAGAAAAATGCTTCGTGTGTCCTGAGGTTGATGATGTGAGGGACCAATACGCATTCACTCATTCTACAAGTGAGCTAGAGCGACCCAGTGCCAGGCGCGGGGGACACTGGGCACAGGACACAGACTCTGCCCCTTGGACTTCATAGCCTTGCAGTGGGAAGGTGGGGCAACACCCCAGTGCCCCAGAGGGTGCTGGGCGAGGGGAGGTGAGTGGCCAGGATGCCCAAGTCAGGAAGCTTCCGGGAGGAGCGGGAGTCTCAGCCCCCCCTCCCCCGCCCCAGGGTGAGAAGTGACGTGGAGGGAAGAGGGGGCAGAGTGTCCGAGTAGGGCGACAACCTCCGCGCAGGCCTGCAGGTGAGAGAAGCATGACTGCCTTGAGGAACTGAGAGCGGTTCAGAGGAGCAGGAGGGCAGAGGGAGGGTGAAAAGAAGGCGGAAACCCATACTTGGGGAGGACAACGGTGCCACATTAAGGAGATTGTCCTTTGTTCTCAGGGCAATGGAGAGCCACTGAAGGATGCAGAGCAGGGGAGGGACACAGGGCCAGGTGTGCATCATACAAAGGTCACACTCCTGCTCACTGATGTGGATTCTTATTCTCAGGAGCCACAACCCACAATCACGATCGGGCACATCCCCCCCACTGTGCTCGAACTTGAGCCGCGGAGCACCTGAAACCTGTATCTCCATGGAGACAGCAAGCCCCAGCAGCCAGCTCCACAGCCCTCTTGCTCTTGCAACAGGGAATACAGGTTAAGAGCATGGACTCTGGAGCCCACCGTTCAAATCCTAGCTCCTCCACTTTCAAACTGTGTGACCTTGGACAGAGAACGGCTCTGTGCCTCAGTCTCCTCATTTGTAAAATGGGGCTAATCCCGGTACCTACTCCATGGGGCTACAGTGAGGAGTGAACGAGTTAGAGTTGGACCAGGACCTGGCACGTGACAAATGCCAAGCGCTGTTAGTTTTTACTGCTATTGCTGCACCCTCTTCTGGAGACCCCCAGGGCCAACCCCCTACAGGCACTAACTAACCCATCCTCCACTTGCCTGCCCCTTCCCCTGAAGCACCCCTCCCATACTCTCTTACACTTTCCATGACTAGGGGTCAAGACAGAGCCAGAGAGGGGGAACCCCTAAAACAATCCCCACCTGGCTCTGGGGCCTCACCCTAGCTCCCTCTCGCCCCATGGGAGAGAGTACTGGACTTGGAGCCAGGAACTGAGTGTCACCCCCGGCTCTGCTGCTGACCTTCTCTGGGCCTCAGTCTCCCCCTCTGTAAGGCCAGGACAAGAACATCTTGCAGATGTCTCATCAGCGTGGCTGTCAAAGGAGCGACAAGGGCTGGGGAAAGGTCTGCTAAATGTCCACATCTGTCACAGACCCCAGAACCCTTGGCCTCTCCTTCTGGCCTGGGTTTCCTCCTCCACACAATGGAGTCATGAGATTTGCTCCAAGCTCCCTATGAGGACTCCAAAAACTAAGGACGGTGGATGTGCCAGTCAGGCCAGAAAACCCACCAGGAGTCTGCCTCCTGGGGCGCCTGAGTGGCTCAAATGGTTAGGCGTCTGCCTTCAGCTCAGGTCATGATCCCGGGGTCCTGGGATCAAGTCCCACGCTGGGCTCCTGGCTCAGCGGGGAACCTGCTTCTCCCTCTCCTTCTGCTCCTCCCCCTGCTCATGCTCTCTCTCTCTCTCTCTCTCTCTCTCTCTGTGTCTCAAATGAATAAATAAAAAAATCTGAAAAAAGGAGTCTAGGGTGCCTGGGTGGCTCAGTTGGTTAAGCGACTGCCTTTGGCTCAGGTCATGATCCTGGAGTCCCGGAATCGAGTCCCGCATCGGGCTCCCTGCTCGGCGGGGGGTCTGCTTCTCCCTCTGACCCTCCCCTGTCTCATGCTCTCTCTCTCTATCTCATTCTCTCTCTCAAATAAATAAATAAAATCTTAATTAAAAAAAAAAAAACAAAAGCTAAGGACGGCCTGGCTGGGGCCTTCCCGGATGCCCTGAGGCTGATCAGGACTTTCCCAAGTGCTGGGACAGAGACAGACACCCGCGGTCTGAGCTGGGCACCCCAGGAAGAGAGTGCTAACCCAGGGGCCTGAGGAAAGCCAGACCTTCCCCGGGACCTTCCACCAAGTCTGGCTCAGGCCAGGAACTCAAACCAGGGGCCCAGAAAGACCCTCTGGAGCCATCGGGACTGTGACATTTATCTCCAAATGCCATAGGTGCCCATCAGTTGCAGGACCAGGAAGGGCCTAAATGGGACTCTCTGCCTTTGGTGGCCCCTGGGCCTGGGGGGTGGAAAGAAAGCCCAAGAGGAGGCTCCCTCACCATCTGCAGGTTGCCGGCTACCTCCCATAGTTCAGACCCATTCATCCATTCATTCCACAAACATTACGTGGTGCCAGACCCTGGGCAGGCACAGGGTCAGCGACAGAGACGAATCAAACAGATTCCTACCCCGAAGGCACTTCTGGTCTAGAGGGTGACAGACAGGACATAAATAACTAAACCACAAGGCAGACTAGGTCGAGGAATGCAGGGCAGGAGGCAAGGATCTCACCTGGGCATCAGGAAGCTTCCTGGAGGGGGTGGTTTGTGAGTGGCGATTTGCATGTGACCGGAAGGTCAGGTGGGTAAGGGATAGAACCTCCACCATCAGGGACAGACAGTGCTGTTTGCACCCCAGCCCTGCCAGAGCCAGGGAAATGTGGGTTATTAATGGTTGTGCCCAGAGAAAAGCAGCTACATGTGTCACTGCACATGGGGGGCAGGGCTGGGCTGCGGGGGGAGGGGGAGGTTGGGGCTTGAAGCTGGGTCCCGCCAAGCTCTGGGGTTCGCCACCGCGGCCCTCACACCCTGATGACCTTTTAATCTTTTCATGCCCTCCTAAGGCAAAAATAAGAGGGAGAGGTAGTTCCAACAGGCAGCAAGTAGCCTGGGGGGTGAGGAGGGGAGCGGTGCCAGGAAGACCACGGCTTCCGCTTACTTGCAGGCTAGGTAGCATCACCTCGTTCCCCCCCATCCCAGGTATGGGGGAAGGGGTGGAGGAACAGAAGAAAAGATCTTTAACTGCAAACCAGACAGCACTGGGCGCATCAACTGCTGTGTTTCTCCCAGCCCACTCTGATCCATAAATAGCTTACGCGCCAAGCTGGCACAAGCCCACCCATCCCGCTGGGACCAGACGGCCCCAGGCCAGCCACTCGGAATCCCCGGGCCTGGGCGCCAGCTTCCTCAGAAACCTGGTTCCTGCGTTTTCCCCCAGGGTAAAGGCCTCAGCCTCTAGCTGCCTTTCCCAAGGGGCCTGGCGCAGGGGCATCCCGGCACTGCCTGGGTGATGCCCGCGAGCCCCGGTGCCCGCAAAGCAGCCCCGGCCGCGCGCCCGCCGCTCTCCAGGTAAGTGCCCAGTCCTCGCCCGCGCTCCGCAGGCACGCACTCGCGAACGGGCCCCCTCCCTGCGCACCCGCTACCCCAGGCCCAGACCCCCTACCTGGGGGCAGGAGCGCCCGGCACCAGCGGCGCCGCCACGGGGCAGAGCGGGGCGTCTGGGGCCGGCCTCAAGCCCGGACGACTTCCCGGGGGAAGAGGAAGCTGCGCCGCTGCCGCCGCCGCCGCCACCGCGTCTCTCCGGACCGCGCCGGGGCTGCGGGAAGGAGGAAGGTCAGAGCCGAGGAGGCGGGGGGGGGGGGGGGGGGGGGGGGGGGGG